AGGGATAGTAGTATGTAGTAGTGAGCAGTAGGGGGCAGTAGAGAGCAGTAGTGTGTAGCAGGGATAGTAGTATGTAGTAGTGAGCAGTAGGGGGCAGTAGTGTGTAGCAGGGGTAGTAGTATGGAGTAGTGTATAGTAGTGAGCAGTAGGGGCAGTAGCGAGCAGTAGTGTGTAGCAGGGGCAGTAGTATGTAGTAGTGAGCAGTAGGGGCAGTAGAGAGCAGTAGTGTGCAGCAGGGGTAGTAGTATGGAGTAGTGTGCAGCAGGGGCAGCAGGGGGCAGTAGTATACAACAGCATGCAGTAGTCGTGGCCGAGTGGTTAAGGCGATGGACTAGAAATCCATTGGGGTCTCCCCGCGCAGGTTCGAATCCTGCCGACTACGTGTGTCTTACTGTTCGTGTTTCTGTCGTGAAATTTGTTCTTTTAAATTGATGACTGAAAAAAACAAGAAGTTCTACTATTAGATTCAATGCCTTTAGCTGGAAGTGTGGTAGTGTACATATTCTGAACAGCTGGCAAACAGCAGCCTAGGTTGAAGGAATGTTTTTTTTCCAAGAATCAGTATTTAACTAATAGTTGAATTTTACAAGAATTATGCCACTAGAAATTTGGATTCAAATGCAAAAATGTGAATTTGAATGTTATTATTTTGACCTATAAGTTTGTACTTATATGGCTGTTTTTGAACATTTGGTGGCACTAAGAGACAACTCTGGGGCCACACACCCACACCAATCATATTGTTTTATAGAATTAAAACGTCATTATCGTGTTTAATAAATAAAAAAAAAATGTAAAAATGACTGAACAAGCTCTATATACACATGGAATTAAATCTCTAAACAAGTATATAATTATAATAAATAATTGAAATAAAATAATATTTAAAAATTAAGGCAAAGAAAAATAACTATTACAAAGAAATTGTTAAACAACTACATTGTTCATATAGTAGTAATGAGCTAGCAACTTAACATGCTAGCTAGCTAGCATGCTAGAAAGAGAGCAAACTGACTAGGCTAACTCCGATTAATTAGCATTAAATTCTTGACAGTGTGTTTGCTCTGTTTTTCCTCTTTTGCTTTTATCTTTTTTCCATTTTTCTACACCAGATAGATACAAAGGCTTCATGATCGCCTCTTGTTCGTGATCTTCTGATGTTATTTACATTATTTATCCAAGTTAATCACATAAATTGCAATTTGTATTCTTTTCTCACAACAAGGGGGCCCTCAGTGACTCGGATACATAAATCTTTTCACCAAATGATAGTAAAATGCTTTTTTGTATATCCTTTTTAAACTTCATGGGGGCCCTTGGTGGTGTGGAGACTCTAAGCAACAATTTATATTGCTTATAGCATGCAACATCCCTGTTCAGCTGGAAACATGCATTTAAACAGTTTTTAAATTGCACTTGGTATATCAATTCATTCAAATTTTTCGATTCACTTCAACACTCCAATCTCACCTACACACACACACATACACACTCACACGCACACATCAGTCACATTACAGTGTTTCCATGACCATTTCTTATTTGATGCAGTTTTGTACTTTGTATCTTGTATCTTTTTTTTTTTTTAACTACCAGTTTTTCTTAGATCTAAGAAAAAAAAAAACCTGATATGATATTTATGGGAAATGTTTGCAAGTTGCGGTGTTCTGGGAGTTTGTGCGTTGATTAGCCAACATGCCGTGGTTTTGCAGTGAAACCTGGTAGGTACTGACAACCACAACCTGACAAGCCACAGGATGTGCAAGATCTCATTTTCCACACCAGTGATGAAGACACTGCTTTACAGGAAAGCATTTCTTGTGAAACGAAAGGGAAAAAATCAAGCAGGTGCAAGTCTCTACAAAATATTTGTTCAACGCTTTTGTAACAAGCTTTAGAAAACTAAAGTTTTCCATCTATTTACAATCATTTGTTTAATTGAGTGGAGAAATTGGACATACAGGTACATAAATTATTTAAGCACCCATTTCACTTATGTGGAACTGCCATTAAAGGGACACTGTAATTTTATAAAAGTATAAATCAGTACTTAAATTTTTTTTTTTTAATAAAAAGAAATCCAGCTTCACTATAAAAATTTTTTTAAAAAAACAGGATAAAGGCATAGATAAAGTGCTTTTATATCACTGAGTGCCACGCTCAGATCATGGCACTTAAGCACTTAGATCAAGTTTAGGGTTTGATTAATAAAGTGAGGCTTCTCAATTTTTTTTCCATTCACATGTATATTTATAGTCATTAATTTAGCCATAGTGGTCAAGCGCCATTAGAGGCCCATGGGGGCAGGAAGCACGTTGCCCCATGCTTGTTCTGTGCACATTTTCAGTGGAGAAGGAGCAGCGGACAGGACAGTTGCCTAATTTTGATAGCTTATAAATACTCCGTTGCCACCAAGATCTTCTTTTATAGCAAATAATTGAAATGAGATCTAATGCAAAAAAGGCAACATGTAAGTATAGATATTGTGTCTATGATGTACAGAATTTCTATTGTAAGATATATTGCAAAGACTAGAAGAGAGAAAGAGGGGTTCTGGAGTAGACAATTTCATCAGAAATGCATATATACCATGGTCACCTTTTGTTTGCCATAGAAGGGCTAAAAAAAGAAAGGCAAAAATGGTTGCCTTTTTCATTGCCTGATTTTTTGGGGGCTTGTTCTGGGTCTTTTGTGTGGTTTTTGAGATATAGTTGGCCTGGAGATTTTGTTGAAACCTGCCAACCCTGGTTAATGAAATTAGCTGCCCTATTTTGCCACTCAGAATATACACAGTATAAGATATATACAATAAAGACCACCAAAATAGGCAAAGACAATATAATTCTTTTTTTATTGAATACAATCTTTGGGTTACGTGGTTCAATTCTTAGTGGTTTGGTCCTTTATACGTTTACCTTTAATTATTTATCAATTAAGGTCTAACAAGTATGAACCTATTTAACATACATTTAGCAGTTTAAGGTCATAACAGTTGTTTAATTTGTTATAAAGATGCCTTTAGTTAGGGTATACATTTAAAAAAAAGCATTTGTATAAAAAAAAAAAAAAAGCTCATGGCTACTAGAGACTTCATTATATATGCCATAGATGCTGGAATATGTCCGATTTCCCTTTCCAGAGATTTCCTTCAGGTGCTCATAGTGCACTGGATAAACTGAAACAAAAAAGAGAAACATATTGAACAAAATCAAGTGAATTGCACATATTTGTTTATTTATTTATGTTTAGTAATTTTAGATTTGATGTTATCTCTTGTACAATACTGTCATACTTACGTCGTCATACTGAAATGAAGCGGTTCCATTTTGCGCCTGGTCCCTCCTGCGGAAAATATCTGAACACAATATAATGCGTCAATGAAACACAGTAAATCTATTACTTACAAAAGTGTCCATTGGACAGAATTGCTTGCAAAATAATGTAGAAATTGTCCAGTGTACCAGTCAGGCTCCTTAGTTTGACACAGCACGCAACATAATCATCAAAGGTGATCTTTCCCTGAGTGCTGTAGCGCCTTATGATACAGTTCATGGCTTGAGGACTCAGCCTATAGCCTGGAGACAAACATAATACAATATTGAATAAGTACGTCTTATAATTAAATGATATCTACTATCTACTCACAACATAACTTCCTGAATGCATAAGTTATATGCGATGAGCTTTGGAGAGATGTTAAGGTAAATGTCTTTTACCCATCGAGGAAACAGCTTGGTTCATTTCCTGTGGGTCCACTGTCCCACTCATGTCTTTGTCGATGGACATGAAGT